ACTTGCTGTTTCTTTCTGTGTGTCATTCTACCACTTTTCTGAGGACCAGATGTTCCTGCAAAGATAGAAGGACATAGAGTTTTACCAGTCTGTTCTTCAAGAAGTGGTTAAAAGTTAAACTTAGAATTAGATTAAGAGATTTCCATAATGGTTTATGGATGCATATACAGGTTGTATGATTCTATCTGCGTCTGTTTCTCAGGTTGAAAAGGCGTCAGGAGGAGGGTCAGTCAGAGGCCGGGGGCGATGATGCCAGTGGAGACGGGGACGGAGAAGCTGAAGCCGGGGCCACTGACGATGACGCACCTGAGCCAGAGCCCGACCCCGAGCCGGAGGCCGAGTCCTCCTCCAAGCTAAGCATGTGCGGCTCAGTCTGCTCCTCCCCCGGCAGCTGCTAGCGCCACATCGCCTCACAGTGACGATCGCAGGTGTCTCTCTGGCTGCTGCCGTGTTTGTGCCATGCCAATAGATACATTCTCACCTCTCTCCTCTGTTGTAGCCAGGAGTGGATGACATGCACAGCAGAGTGACTGAACGCACAGCAGGACCCAAAAATACGGCTCCCACCATTTCCCCTCCTTGTTTTTTTTTTTCTGTAGCATCCTCCTGGTAGGGCATGAATGAAGCAGATCTCCAGAGAGTCCCCGCCTACTGTACCCATCTGCCCTAGAGTAAGCTCTAACTTCTATGCAACGTTACAGTATAGCATGACAAATAAGGCATCACTTACTAGGAGGTGTTGTTCACGAGCAGAAAGCTCCGCGAGCATGATGACATCCCGAGCAATAGCAGTCCCTGGTTTTTGGGGGTCGGTGGTTTTGCTGGAGACGCCTTCCCTCTCAGCCTTCCTGTTGAAGATCTGATGGGGACGACTGAATTATTCAGCACATGCAGGCACTCAGTTTATGTTGTTGCCTGCATCTTCAGTTCACTCCCCCCAGCCTCTTTCATGTAATGTGTGCCCTAATTCAGAGTAGTTTTTTCTCCTGGAGCACCTTCCTCCTGTTGCAACACCTTCCTGAGACACATTTACACTAAGTGTTCATGGCTGGTTTCAGTCGGCCAAGACAGTGCGGCTGATTTCATGTTGTAAACCTGTTAAAAGTGGTGCCTGTTGACGATAATCAGTATTCATTAATCCCATTGTAGCCATGGATGCATTATAGGTCAGAATGTTAGTTCCCTCTTTAAGTGTTAGACACCTGTTCTTTTTCCGAGCTTTTTTAGGATGATAAGGTACTGTTATTAATGGGGAATCAGTACAGCAATCAGAATGAAAGGTTTTGCTTGTCACTGTGTCTGTAATGGTTACCAAGATGTAGTATTTTAGCCCTGCACCGTGCTCTGACTCATAGAGCACTCAGAAACTCTGCTCTGGGAATTACTGTTAATGCCAATCACCCAAAATCCCATCTTTTAAGAATCTATTAGAAAACTCTTTTTCCTTCACCACACATTATCATCTCTTTAAGTGCTTGGTTAGTATAAAGATCATCTCCCTGTAGAGCTTGTTTCGGGGCTGTACTTAATGTGTAGCTGTGCCCTGTTGGTACTTCAAATTGTATAGATGAGCTAGTCTATTACTGTCATAGCGATAGTGGTTCATTTAAGGTGGTGCCATTAATCTCAGTCTGAACACCTGGGAACATGTAGCAAAGGTTCACCTTAAAACCCTAAGGCCTAATAAAATGAAAACCATGTAAATAGCGTACAGTGTAGGTAATTAAACTCACCACAGTTTTATGTGGGACTGCGAACTCGACATATAAACTTAAGGAAGAGCTGCGTGAAGCCTCGTACTGCTTCGTTCCGCTCTTCTTTCCAAGTGTGCAGGCACAACTTGTAGGCAATATATGCCAAAGCTTTTCTACCATTTGCATAACCATTTCTAAGGAACTTTGAATGTGTGTGTGTGTTTGTCTCTTTTTCCCAGTATAACATAAAGTCAGTGTTCCTTCTGCAAGTGAAAATACTATTATTTATACAGTCATATTGTGATTATGTATAAAAGTATCTATTTCAGGTAAGGGGGGGAACTTAAAGTAATATTTTTGGGGGAAGTACGCCTATTGGCTGGCTTTACAAGAATTATATGAGAAGACTAAAACCAATCTCATGTTGACCAAGCTTAACATAAAGACTGGAAGCAGGGTAAGCAGCTAGCCTGGCTCTGTCTGAGTCTAAATTTCTTACCCAGATCCCCTGATGCTCACTATGTAACAGGATCTTATGTGTTAAATCTACACTCAAACAGTAATGTAAAGATGTATTAATCAATTTTTAGGAGCCATGGTGCAATTCATTTCCAGGAATGCTAGAAAAAGTTAATTCATTCTGTTAATTTGTGAGCTTTATGCAAAGACATCAGTATGCTACATTTGCATAAAATTGCCACCAGCCAGGCTACACGTATTGTGACACTTCACACTTGTCACAATGCGTGACCAAACCATGGTTAAAATGTAGTTTGATAGATGATTCAGATCAGTTTGATCAGTCTGCTTTCAGTTGGCAGACCACTACATTAGCTTAGCCAACAGTGATCTATTATGGACCCCACTGCTTTCCTTGGCAAGTGGTTGGCTAGTACTTGTCACGTTGACATTTCAAGGTTGGAGATGCATAGGGTTAAGCATAGAGGTCATAGTTAGGTCTAGTTCTTGTCAATCACAGCACAGTAGGGTAGTACTCGCCACGAGAGACAGTGGAATGTGTAACAAGGCTCGGCTAGCAGTGAACATGCTAGCAGATTAGCCTGCTAACATCAGTGCTAGCTTGGTCTCTTCTGACCAAGCTAGCACGTCATCACGTTCTGACTCCCAACTTGTCAAATACAGAAGCTTGATCAGTGGCCCTGTGCTTCGAACTATGATTCTCTAGGTATGCCTCTAGAATCAGTTTTGGACGTCTCAGTTTCTATGTCAGCATTGGCTTGTTACATGCTACAGTGTCTTTTCAAAAAACTTTTTGGTTAAAACAACTAAATTTGTAACATAGCAGTAAATTAATAAGTATGTCATGTGATGTGCACCTGTATATCACATGACGTTTATTAGGTGTGGCTAAAAAAAACAACTTAGAAGTGACTTTTGGTTTCACACAGGACACAAACACCTGCCTCCTGGGTGACAGTCCCATACATGTTTAAAGCATCAAACCTACTTAGATGTTCTCACCCTTTCTACTACGTTATTGCTGCGGATGAGTTTACACTGAAAGTAGTTGAAAGCCTGTTGCATCTTCTACAGATGCTAAAGGGTGCCTGGTGCGTATCAGAAGCCAAGGGCCATTGACCAGGCTGCTGATTCGATGCCCTGGGAATGAGAACAGGTTGGCCATATGACCATTGTCTTGTAAGTTGCAGTGGCTCATCTGGTTACGGTCCTGTTGCTAAGCTAGGCTAATGTCCTCTGAGTTGTAGCTTCATACTTGACACACACACATGAGAGTGGTATTTATTTTCTCATGTCACTCTCAGAAGGTAAGCAAATAAGCATATCACCCAAAATGTTGAAGTATTTCTTGAACCATTATACATTATGATTAGAATAAGAAGCTTCTTTAAAGGGATATAAAGTGGCATCCTCCAAGTCTGCCAAAATATATGATGAATTTAATAGTCTCGAGCCCTGCGCTTTTTTTGCATGTACCTTTACAGTATAAGCCTGTTTTTGCCAAAGCCTGGAGCTTGAGCCTTACTGGCTGATTTGTGCATGCACAAGCTTTTGGTAATAGCTCACCTGATTATAGACACAGTCCAAATCAGAGTATAACTGGCCTGCGTGACTGTTTCTGGACAGTGACTTTTGTGAACTTTAAACTGTACAAAATCGTATAATCCCAGTGTTATATGGACGGCATGATATTTTTAGATGATATGCAGTACCTTTTGGCATCCTGTAGGTTGTCTTAATGCTTTGTTCAAGTATTCAGGCTCGTACCCTTGCTGGATGAGTGGAATGAGGTCAGCAGTCGTGTGTGATGCTCCGTTGTGGGTTAAGTGTTGCGTTATTGACTGTGCAACAAAGGAAGAATATTTGGAACTGGGGCAGGTTTTCACTTCAGCCCAACACAGAATTTGCTGCATTACTAAAACACTGAATGTCTCCATTTGTGGAAAAGGAAGCTCAGTTATTTCTAAGACTCATTAAATCAGTCTACACACCATCAGAATCAACATAGGCCTGAAGTGGATGTGTAATTATATGTTAATCATTTGTAAATGATAATAACTGGTTTTGACAGTTAATTTAAGTGTAGCTTCTCTCTAAGTTACAATACTAATCTACAGTTTTGGCATTTGTTCCTTGATATCGGTGATCATTCCTAATTGGACCGTGCTTGCAAACCCTCCCGACATGTTTTTTATGTGTTAATGTTCTGGATGCCGTTAGGTGTTTCAAAAAAAAAAAAAAGGCATTGTGCTAGTGTTTGACCAGCAACAGCATGTCTCCTATTCAGCCGTTTTCTGATGGATGCTCTCGAGGCGTACCATACTGTAGATGTCTTAACTCTGTGGTTACAGTCTGAAACTCAGTGCCCTGTTGAGAAAACAAATGAAGGAGAAAATGTGATTTATGCCACTGTTTTCCTCCTTGTGATCCTATTTTGCATAATGTTATTGTGCTGCGGGATTTTTACGGGGAGTCAGTGAAAAGCCTTGTTACTGTACCAACTGAAACTGCTCCATGTGTTTAAAAAATGCTGCTTTAACTGCTTTGATAAAGAAATAAATCTCCTTCCAGTATTTTGGTGCATCTGTGTCTTTTTCATTTCTACTCAAACACAGCATCAAAGGCCCAGTTTGTCTGCAGACAGTAGAGGGCGATGAAGAGCAGGGGTATAAATTGTAGTCACTCCCAAAGTGTATTAATGTCTTTGAGTAGTCTTGTAAACATGGGCTGTGCCAGTGGTGACTGCAGGTGGAGAATCTAAGATTGGAAAAGAGATGAGGCTTTCACTCTTATGAAGAGTAAATAATGCAGACAAGCATGGCCTTGTGCCTCTTTTAAGAAAACAACTTCATTTTGATATACAGATACAGCATATGCATACACACAGTTTTTAAAAAAAGTTTGCATAAAAGTCATGGAAACAGACTGAATTATTCAAAGTCCAAGTTTGAAAGGCGCCTTGAGTCCCTCTTCCATCGATGCCCTTAGTTTAAGACCTCTGCCCTGGATCTTCCAGGATATCCACTGTCGTCTTTCCTTCATTGTCCAACAGGGGGCGCCACTCTGGGGCTTCAATAGCATCCAGAAGAGCAGCCAGTTCAACCTCCAACTTGTCAACTGTGTCCTCCACTTTCTGCAGGAGACAGAAGACATAGTTGTGCGGTTGACATATAAATAATGCATTAATAAGTTGTAGTATGAATAATAGAATCATCACCCATGAATAATACAGTCACTTATTCATATGAATAAAACAGTTGCCCAAAACAGCTAGTAAGGTGAGGTCAAAGTCAGCATTTGGACTGGGGTTTGTCAGATGAATACCGACTAACTCATCAGCTTTTTGGGAACAATTTAGACGTCATGGTGTTTTTGCACAGTAAGTGGCTGTGGATGTGGCACTGAGCCACAGCTTTGTCAACATCTTATCCTTGAAAGGAAATGCTGAGGAGTTTTTTGGCAGCCTAAGATAGAGAGAAAGCTAACACTTAATAATGAAGTTGACAACACCAGGGGGCAACAACATCCCAAATCCTGATGGTTTCAAACCACTGAGGGCTGAATGTGAAGTTGGTTTGGAAACAGCACCTTCTCCACCACATCCAGGCGGTTGTGAAGGCTCATGTGCTCTTGACAGGCACTTGAACGCACCGCTCGAGGCCGCACGTCAGGCTCAGGTCCTGCAAACAGAAAAGATGCGTAAATCTGAGTGGATTCATGGTGTTTGATGGAAGCTTGAGGCAAACAAACAGCTTTCAACTTTAATCACACATGAAAGCTATTGATGGCATGCTTTACCACTGATTTCAAAATGAGCATTTCACTTTACCCCCATATTTTAACAGGCAGCAGTAGGAACGAGCTTAAGGAGAGCAATTATTTTTTAGGAGATAGGAGATAATAATAGGAGATAGTAAAGTCCAACCTTGACATTTCAACCACACAAAACAAACCTGGTTGCCCAGTTAAGGAGAATTACAAGGATGTACACTCTAATATTAGACAGTTTAAGAAATAGTTTGACATTTTGAGAATGAATCACAATTTTCGAGAGTTCAACTATTTCTTAATTTTGAGTCTTTGGTGCCATAATACAAGGCAAATGTCAGAAATAATAGCAATAACTGAAATGTTGTATTTCAGTGTGCTGAATTAATGTAACATTAAAGGGGTGTTTGGATTCTTCGAAGTGGGTTGTACAAGATATTCAGTACATTACCATCAGTGGGAGGCAGAGAAGTAGGCAGGAGAACAGAAGCTGAGCTATGTACTGCTGTGGATGGGGATTAGGAAAAATACATACTACAGCCACCTTAGAAAAGGCATACCTAAAATCAATATCAGTTGAAAGAGACACTATATTGAGAATGTTTTCACTGCTTTGCTGTCAGACAGTCCTTTCCTCTGGCACTACATTTTCTCATATGTAGAACTTCTGCATTCCTGTGCCAAAACACACTTATGCCGCATACTGTATTGTACCACAGGTCAGCTGTTAGGGTCAAGCTTTCAACAGTTTATGAAAGACACAGCAAATTAAAAAAAAGAAAAATCTGATTGATTATGACGGTGACAACAAAAGTGCTGTTTATTGTGGAGACAAGAGGATACTGTCATGAACGAGAGCATAAAGAACTCCTGCAGAGAGACTGAAGAGAGAGACTGAATGGGCTGAAAAGAGGGAGATGCATCGGAATACATTAGTTCCACAGTTGAGAAAATATATTGCCCAAGGAATGGTGAGGTAAAGCAGCGAAAATACTCTCAGTATAGCATTCACTTAAAGGTCCACTATGTAGATATAGTGTCATCTAGTGGCGAGGTTGCTGAAACTTCTCTTTGTGCCATTGTTTCGGAGAACTTCAGTGACGACAGGAAAAAGCAAAATCACAAATGCCTGTCTAGAGCCAGTGTTTGGTTTGTCCATTCTGGGCTACTGTAGAGCAACATAGTGGATTCCATGGGAGAGGACCTGGTCTGTATGTAGATATAAACCTCTCATTCTAAGGTAATTAAAACACTATTGTTAGATGTTATATTCCAATTCTGCCAATAGATGTCGCTAAATCCTACGAACTGGACCTTTAAACTGATATATACTTTTTAGATAGGCCTTTTTTGAAGTGGCTAAAATACATTTTGTTGCTGTCCCCATCCATAGCAGTACATACCTTAGCTTCTGTGATGGTACTCATGTCTGCTTTTCTGAAATGGGCGTGTGCTGACTGATGCTCACTGTACGTAATACACTGACTATAGATAATAAAGTAGATCACCCCCTTCAAAAAAATCCCTTTTAGTCGTAAAATCTACCATGACACTGTACTTTTTGGATCATTTGCTCCTTTCCATTTCAAATAACCATTTCATGTGTTGCGTTTTCTTCAGTCAAGCAACTTTTAACTCATAATTACAGTGAACTGTGTAACTCTGGTGGAGTCCAAGGTATAAACCAGTACAACAGTCAGGACAGAGAGGAACACCACGCTTGCTGAAAATTCACTTCAGCATGGTGCGGAGGGCCACATGCATTGTTCCATCCGTTTTCCCCTCACAGTCATGTTTCCAATTATCTGTGTCTCTTTGAAGTCAATATATTTAAGGAGCAGGCTGCATTCTCTGGCAGGGCTCTGCTTCCATTTTCTAGCACCTTCTTAGTGGCTGCGGGCCAAGCTCCCATTGATAGCATTTATACTTTATAAATGACTGAACTTCTCATTCATTTACTGACTGCTGGCAGCGGTGCTGCCGCTGTTACTTCGATGAAACATTTGTATGCAGACAGCTGATGCCTGAGAGTGTGTGTTATTGAACATTAATGATACTAAGGCAGTGTTAGGTTGCCTCTGCAGAGCAGGTTTTGTCAATATCATTCCTCTCATACTGTGGCTGCTGGCCAGTGACCAAACAAGGATGTGCTTTCACCTTGTCTTCTGGAAAAATTTAGTTAGGAGCTCATCCCATAAAAAAAAAAAAAAAAAAACACTTCAGGTCCCATTTTGAAGTTTTCTTTTATAACCAACAGGCAATGAGCTGGTAGCCTCCAAAGAGCCCAAATATCTTGAGTTCTTTCAACTGTAAAAAACTTAAAACTCTACATCTTCAAACTTTGAGGTTTATTAGTCAGATTTAAAGCTTGGGTAAGCAGTTTTATTATGGTGTCATTTGGCAAAATTTCCACAATAAACTTTCAGCTTATTGGATTTCTCTCCATGAACAAAACCTAATGTATCAATATCAGTGAGGTGTTTAAAAGATGGTGAGAAAATGTTGCTAATAGTTTAGCCTTCTGTTAATCAAAGCCAAAGGCTTCCTGTGGGAAAAGAGCAGGCAGCAGCTCTGGAGACTGACCCCCAGTCAGCAGCCCCAGCAACCCAAATCCAGCCAATGCAACAACAGCTCCGGGGGACTGAACAGCCCCAACTCCCCACCAGATCAGCAAACTTTCTGTTGCTGCCATCACATAGGTTTAACCTGGCGCAGCCACTTTCCAACAGCCCACTGTGACACCTGGTGCTTAGGGGTTTTTCCTGGCTGAATTTAAACCACTATAGCTGCCAACCCAAAGTCTGTCCCCTGAACTGCTGCCTGCTCTCCTCCGGATCTCCTACCCCAGCTTTGATGTTGAACACTTGTTTGAGCACTATTAGAAAGATTGCTCAACTTTTAATCTTTCTGGATAAATAAACTTTGGTTGCCTGACTCAGTAGAGACGCAACATGAATAACGCCTCAGAATCGGGCCAAATAAGATGGCCCGATTCTGGCTGCCAGCACTGCCATCACTGGCCCCTAAACAAAAAATGCCCAGGCCCAGCATTGCCCCAAAATTTGGGATGCCGGTAAAAATAAGTCGGGCTGCATCCAGTTCCCCAACTTGGCTGAGATTTGAGATGAATGATGCCCCGGTATCAGGCACAATAACCTGGCCCGATTCGGGCTGCCAACACTACCCTCACTGGGATTACTCGTGTTGTCCTCTCTGTTTTACTATCCTCATTGGAAAACAGAGCTTCACATGTGCACACTTGGAAATATAAATTTTAGAACAAAAACACACAAAGTCTGCTGTCAGATAAACACAGACTGGGGCTTTGTTCAGGTTTCCGTCCTCTCAGCTCCTCAGCAGCAGCTGCAGCTGAAGACAAAATGTATCTGTTTGCTTTCATGAGCGGATAGTCAAAGTCCTTATTTTTCATCTTTGGCTAATGCAGAGATTGATACAGGAATTGTTTTTTTCTGCTTATCACTCATGCTGCAAACTGTATCCATCCTAGCAAGTCATTTAGTCCACCACTGACCCTGAAAATCTTTTATTCCTTTAAGCAATAAAGGCTTTGCCAGCAGAGTCGGCCAGAAATGATTCCCACATCTCATTCTGCACATTGTCTTCCCGTGTACAGCCGTGCCTTAGCATCAGGCTGCCTTGATTTTACAGAGATATCCCATGGAAACATTTTACAAGCTCCATTACGCCGACCGGAGGGGTGCCAAGTTCACTACATGCAGGAAGCAGGCCAAGAGAGAGCGTTGGATGGAGGGAAGGTACAGTAAGCAGATTCTCTCACTGAGCAGACAAAGCAGATGTCTGCCCTCTTGTGTCTTCGATGACGGAGGTTTAGTTGATCTGACTCAGGGGGCATGAAGATTTGGCAAAGCTCAACTGCTTTGGTTTGACAGTGACAGATGAATTATCAGCAGTCTGCTAAAGACATAAAGATTTCCACCACGGCATCTGGAGGTAGAAGTTATTAAAGTGGTGTTTTTTTGTTGTTGTATTTCAAAACAACCACAGTCTTCAGCTGTAGCAGAGTGTGCTGCTGGTTTAGTGATCAGCAAAAAAAAATCCCCCCAAACTACAGCTGTGCCTCCATCTAAGTGTCAGTGCGTGTTTGTGTGATCAGTGTACACTGCACAGCCTGCTCCTTAGGAGGGGAAAACTTGCAACAGAGAGCAACATGCTGATGTTCATGATGAATGCTGTTATGAAGAGGAAGAAGTGTCTGTGTTGTATGCAATAAGCAGATGCAATTAATGTGGCTGATGTGAAATAGCTGATGGTACTGAGATGTTATAATATCACCAGTCCATGGTTCCAAACAGCAAGAAGGCATGCGTTCCTGTTTGTGTTGGCGTTTGCTTTTGTCCAGCTCATAAGAAGAAGTTTTTTTTCCCCCTGCCAGAACTGTTCCAGGAGGTTGTGAAATCATATAATAACCCCCTCCAAACACTCCAAGGAAACACACCACAGGAAAAGCAAACAGATATGATGATCTAACTCACTGACTCCACCCGAGGACAAAGGTGAATGACCGTGTGTGTGTGTCTGTGCACGGTGCTGTGTGTGTCAAGTGTCTGTGCCGGGTTGTCTTGCTCTGTGGGTTTGTGCACTGACATGGCTCTCTACAGGAGAGAGGGAGTTCAGCCAAGTGCAAAATTGAGAAGTCAGTGCAGGTCAGAGCGTCAGTTCACAACAACAGTGTTCACACAAACTGAGAGACGCCCATAGAAAACATGACAAACATTTACAAGCACGATCAATGAAGAACTAAATCCTGTCCTAAAATGTGTGTACTGCATACCAGCCTGTTTGAATATGTAAGATGAAAACACTGCATTTGGTGATGTGCAATAAGAAATGAGCCCTGACACTTCAAATGCTTTCCCCAGTACATTACCTGATATTTCAACTGCTTTCTCTTTAATTCTTTAACCTACAGCTGCCTTAAATGCTTATATTCAAGGTAGTGATGAAGCTGGGGATGGCTTCACCCAAATGTTTTCTCAAAAGCTCTGAATCCTTAAGGTTTTTATTATACCTTCAACTTTGGGACATTTCCCCTCAGTCTCTTTGACTGGATCTTCAAATCAAAGGAGCAAAAGCTCCTCTTATCCTATATCTCTTATACTAATGCTGGTGGTTACTCCAAAGTCTTAACCTTCCTGTGTTATGTCACTTAAAAGAAGTACATCAGACAATTTTGCCTCTTTTTATGAGGCAGGAGTTACGGTTGAAGAGTTACAGGTGAAAGCATTTGGAGAACAATTAGATACAAAATATGAAGTAGGCTCTACAGGATAATTTTTTCCTCTGCAACTATTGTGTTTTTCCCAAACGATGCACACATTTTTAGGCATTCTGTTATGTTAAATGGCTTGGAAAATAGTGCATATAGCTGCCCTACATTGGGGAAAAAAATCCACCCCAGGCAAGCAACCCCCCACAAACCCCCTTAGGTTTAGGCTAAGCCCTGAATGTTTACAGCATCTGGCTCTGCCTCTGTTTAAAGGGACATTTCAACTGCTGTCTGAGCTCCCATGCCAGCTATCACACTAGCTGCTTGAAGTGCGCACTTCAACTATCACCAGCACCTCGACTGACAATTCAACTGCTTTCAGTGCTGCTTTAGCCAGGCTGTTCTCATGCACTGTTCATACATTTTCCTACCAAAAGTAATGCAACAAAATGTGCACATATCCTACGTAATCATGAGCCAGTAATTTGTGTGTGATCTACAGGACTCCACTTACTTTCTATTAGATCAACTACTTTCAGCTTTTCACTCCCCCAAAAAACATTTTACCTGCAGTTAGTCCTCACATGTAAACTACACTTCATCTACTTAAAATGCACACACTACCACTGTCTGCAGCTCTTACAGTTCAACTGACATTTCAACTTTTTTCAGTGCTCGCACGCAACTGACATTTCAGCGGCTGTCATCTCAAACTCTTCAACTGACATTTCAACTGCTTAAATGCTTCCACCTCCACTGTAACTCTAAATTTCACAAGAAACAAATTAACATTTTGAAAAGACTGTACCCAGTTTCCAGCGACTGCACTTAGAAAATAGTCTCTGTAACAAAAACTATTCATGCTTACCTCTTTTTATATTTCAAATTTAAAGTGAAATTAAGCTTTTATGGTGTAATGTGAGATCAAAAGCTTTGTGCGTTTGTAAGTGAGTATTTGTGCTGGCTTGCTGCATATAGCAAGTGTTCATTTTGCTGCACGCTTCCTGCAGTTGGCCATTCTTACGGTATGAAGTCAGTGTAATTCACACTTGAGGCCGTCACTCACAGATTTAGCTCTGGAGGATTGGCCAACATTTTTGTGAATTTCCATTGGATTTTAGTAACACTGGTAAACAGAGCTAAACACACTGGTTAGAGGCAGGCAGATGGGCATGCTGGAAGAAGGAAAGAGGGATTGTTTGAAACTATGCTGACACAATATTAGATTAAGTGTAGCCAGAGCTACGGTGAAATTAGTAACAGATGTGCTGGCAGTGCCTGAACACACACAGGCTCACGTGTGTGTGTGTGTGTGTGTGTGTGTGTGTGTGTGTGTGTGTGAACACCCATGATGTTAGTTCAGCCTCATGTGTGTTCATCCAGCCATCGTCCACACACACTCACACACATCTGTGAAATATATAGAAGGTATCGTACCATGCAACAAAGACATAGCGTATGGAATAGACATGATCGGCATCACATAATGTATTTCCACTACACTCTATAAATCATCTGTTCTAGTAAACCCACACACCGAACTCTGATCTGCTCAGTTTAATTCACAGCTGTGTGTCCTCTGACACTTCCTGTCTGACCTGTGAACTCTCTCCCCACCCTCCTCCTAACTTCACCTAGCTACATCTCTTACCTGCAGCAACGTAGCCAATCAGAAGGAAGATGAGTCCAACTGAGGAGGTAGAGGGGCAGGTCATGGTGAAACCTGGCTCGCAGCTGGTGACGAAGTGTGAAGAGTGTTGTGGAAGAAAAGACACAAACAGCCCCAAAATCTCCTCCAATTCAGAACCGGACTGAAAACAAAAAGTTCTCTTCTCCTCCACAGCTATCCTCTTTTCCCTCTTTACCCTGTGCTTACTGTCTTGCTCTCCTACCCCTCCCTCGTTGACTTGGTTGCGCCCAGTTTCCTAATGAAAACATTAGATGCAGAACAAAAAGCTCAGTATCTGGGAAGGGGCGGGAGAAGATGTACTGGGGAGGGGACTCAGATCTCAGTTCAGCCACACACTGACTGACTTTTTAAGGGGAGAACTCTGGTTTTACTTAGTTTATCATGTGGTGTAAGATTTGTGTTACATTTGCGGTCACTGGCATTTTACTGGTTATATAAAAATCTGCATTTTTGTGCATAGTTTATGATGAAAACATGACATAAGTGGAGTTACACCTTTCCAAAAATAAGATTTCAGTGTTATATTGATACGCTTTTCTATGTATTACACATGCCATCTTTTCACTTACAGTTAACTGTAAAGAATTGCATCAAAGATGACTTATTCCTAGCTATACTCATTGTAAAACTGAAATAGACCAGCTCTTATTTGTTTTTGTTTCATAATTAAAACTGTATTTTCAGATAAAAATCAAGAGAGCTCTTTCTGGGAAAATCAGTCGGTGTTTATGTTCAGCAGGAAGTCAGAGAAATCAAAATCAATTCAGCAGCAGAGAATGCCCTTTATAATCGCATTGATTGGTTCCTGTTATTCTCACTAAATTGACTTCTCGCTCTGTGTGTGTCTATGTGACTCCCACACCTTCCTACATACACAAACACACGGCCAAGACTATTACGTAGTAAATGTGGTTATCTTCATTAAGCCAGGCTGCCTTCAGCCTCGTGCTCTGCTCTCTTGTCTGGCCTCTTAAGCAGATCTACAGGTTAAGAGGCACAAAACAAAACTGGAGGAAAAGTGAGTGAAGGGATCAGAGAGAGTCGGAAGACGTTTCTGTCCATCAGTGGATAACAAAACAGAGAAACAGAGCAAGGACACACGGAAAGAAGCAGTTACTGTATTTATTTTATTTATGACAAACCATCTGTGTCACTGATTTATTCTGTATTTTCATTGGAAACTCATATATCCTCTCAGGCATAGCCAGGAAAGATTACAAATTACATTTGAAGGGACACAACACCAGTAAAAGAATAATAATTTCATGCTGTCAGAATGAATTTGATACACTAAGCATCACAAAAGGAAGAAACCCTTTCCTAATGTGGCACATTCAGAAGTTTGAACAAAAATTTCACATTTTTACATTTAACAGAAAAATGAAGATGTTTGCTTTTCCTCAGCAGATCAGCTCAAAATGCAGATTTCACTCTTACATTTATTTTATGAATTATTCAGTAAACATTTACTTATTTATTTATTAGTTTATATAACAGGGACAGTGTGCATTAATAAACATGGCTGTAGCTGTGGCAGAGTTAGCCAAAATGCTATTTTTCATCTGAGGTCCGTGGGCAGACATTACAAAGTCTCCTTATACAAGAAGATAATTTAAGAAAAATGTGAAAAGTGATTCAAATAATTTATAAGCATGTCAAGCAATAATATAAAAGAAGTTATACATTAATAAATGAGATTTATATTTAGAAAATAACTAATTAAACATGCAGAACACAAGTGTACAATACACATGCAAAGCAATAAAACTGAGATGTAAATCTGGGGTATATTTGTTGTGATTTACAAGGTATAACATGCATAAAATGATCATATAATAAAATTGTATATGCTTTTCATAAGAATGTACCAAACACATATTAATATCATGTAGATGTGTAGCAGAAATGAAAGAGTATTCTGAACCTGTGTGATATGAAAAGTAAATGTATGTCAAAGTTCATGTTGTGACCCTTCTTTCAGGTAGTGGACACATGGTGCAGCACAGAGCGTCTTCACAAACACAGAGCCAAAGGATCATGGCATCCAGTGGGCCAGCGTCACGCTGATCTGTGGTGTGACAGACTGCCGCAGGCGGGGTCACCTTCTCTCTGTCTATTTCTGTCCAGTCTTCCTCTTTGTGCTGTCTATACGTCTGCTTGTTTTATTCAACGTAATGCATGCCGGCCGTTATGATGACCAGATGTCCTCACAAGCATGGAGAGCTGAAGATGAACCATCATCATTTCATCCAGTCAAATAGTTATCTTAACCTCAACATGGACACCACTAAACCTTGTTGTTGCCAAGAAGTGAGCTCAGCTCTCCACCTGCGTGGCCCCTGGCATCCACCCTCTTCCTGCCACTTTTTAAGGAGCTAAATCTGATTTGGGTGAGGTGTGTAGTTGTATGTGAAGTCTGTGACCCCATCGCAAGAAACAAAGCTCCACCCATTGCTTTAAAGACATTCGTTGACCTTTGGTTTCCCTTGACTGTGTCTTAATCCTATTGTAGATTTGCTGTACTTAAAGACACCATCAACAGCTTGAGTCAAAGACCTACTCCAAGTTTTTGGAGGCTTGTCATGTGGTCGGCTTAATCAATATATGATATCAGGCTGGAACCAAATCTTTTCTGCCTGCCTGGTAGAACTGTGCGACTGTGCCCAGTGGGCATTTCATCACTTAATGTTGTATATTAAGTTTCCAAAGTATGAATATAAATGTTTCAGATATTCAGAGTTGGTGGTAAATTTCTTTCCAGGATCTGTTCATTTTTAACTTCTGTAGACAAAACTATAGTCCTCATCTATAGCCCATTACTTGACATTTTCTATGCTATGATAACTTGAGCTGTCTGGTTCACTTCCTTTACGTCTGAGCAAAGAAGGTTATATTCAAAGTCATGCTGATCTCTTCTTCCACTTAAAGTTTTCATTGTCTAATTTTCTGATTATTTTATGTGTTTCCTTCCGACACAATTCAACCATTTGACAAGCTCTGCTGAAGAAACACACTGGCAGCTTTATTGTGTGTAGGTGTGTGTTCTAATGAGACACTCACAAGTGTCTTTTTGCCCTAATGTGCCAAAATATGCCACTCTGGTTGGCCCAGCAGCCACAACCTCCTAACACTGCGTTACATGGTGGTGGCATGTATTAAATTTATGTGCTGGCACCATGGAAACAATGCTGATAAAAAGTCAATTAGTATCCTTTGCTGTGGTGGACAAACGAATTCCCTGGTTCAACAACATCACCAATAGGTGGTGGTTAATGTTACGACCCCGGAGTATAAAGAGCAAGAAATTCGGTGTTGGGAAGAGATCAGGATGGAGAATGGGTCAATTAGACACAGGACTTTCACTCAGGAGCCTGCTGTTCATGTCCTGTGCAAAACTTAACGTACTTATGTCATGTTACATGATATACTTACATCACTTTTCTATGTATGTTCCATATGTAACAAGCATAGTTATTTTAACTGAAAACAATTTTCCTAAACCTAACCAAATAGTTTTGATGCCTAAATCCAACTGTACCGCCACCACATAATTTAACACATTACGTGCCACCACCACGTACTGAGGTCATGGTCTTTTCATGTATTTCTAAGACATTGCTTTGCTCTAAGCTTTGCATGCTTGAAATAAAGTGTAGGTTGTATGATGTGTGCAAGGGCAAAGTGTTTATACTACATGGCCACAGTCAAAGGTGGGGCAAAAATCATGCTGTCATTGTAGCAGAATCATACAAATGGGAATAACAATCCACACTTCCATGCAATCTCTGCTCGAAGGCTTTCACAGTGCTGCACTCACTTGTACAGCACATTTTAGACTCAACTTAAAAAAAAATCAAAAAAGACTTGCAACTCAACATGGATTTGAACCCCAATGACTCATGACTTTACTCTGACTTGAGCCTTTTGACTTGAAAATACTTGATACCTACCCTCAAGCCCAAATATTAAAAAATATGGTACTTAAGCATGTGCCATTAATCAATTAATTTCCCTTCATTTCCTGAATCTGTTAACGTTAATGCTATTCATTCCTATCAAGTCAACACTTAATGCTCCAGATCCAGTTTGTTTGAATCAATCAGAGAGCAGCCAATCAAGTTGCAGGAGAGAACCATGAAGAACTGATGTTGCGTTACTGAGGCTAATGCTTAACTAATGTTAAAGGCTAAGTAACTTTTTTAACAAACTTGTTTTAACAAATACAAAATTTAAAAAGCACTCAGGATTTTTTTAAATTCAAACTATTACGTATTATTCATGATGTAACATTTGGTGAAGAGCACATTATGACTTGTTTAGGACTCGAAACTCAAGTTTAGGATTTGGGACTTGTCAGCCTTGACTTGGGACTTGAGTGCAAATACTTGAGACTTAGTTATGACTTGAAAAACAATGACAGATACTGTTAGTAATATAAACATAATCAATGCTGTGACATATAAACCTCTTAATTTCCCTTTCTGTGACTGACACTTTACCGGACACTATCCGCGTTATGCTGAGTGTGTAAGCTCCACCCATCTCACACTCAATTCATTACGCGCTGATTTACCTGCAAATACAGTTTGAGCCATGTCTGCTAAAGGGATTATCTCTGATTATAAACATTCCTGTGGTGATCTGAGTTGGGGCACACTCATTATCTGGAGAGGCCGTCCAGTGAACGCTGGCACCCCTCTCGCTTCTCAGTTCCGATTCGAGGGACACTTTGTACATCAGATCAGAGCTGAATAGGATCTGGACTGCCTGCTGAGTGCTGGCAGCAGCCAATTTACCTCTTCTCCTCTTTCCTTAAAGTCTCTGTTATCTGTCTGGCTGGCAGTCTCTCTCTCTGCAGTTATACATGTACTGTTTATCCAGGGAAGCCTTGCTCTTCTGCAGCAACATCCTGCTTCAGTTTTCTTTCAGATGCAAGCACTGACATCTGACAGCTTGACAGGAAACTGTCTACTGTTGCCCTCTATGTACCTCATAGAGAGCAGTTTGAGGTAATGCGCAGTACACCTGGATTCTTGACATGGAAAATAGAGATATGAGAGTTTCTTATGGCTCCATTTTACTATTTTTTCCAGGTACAATTATCTCCTCAGTTCTCTCGGAACACACCTGCATCTCTACCTCTTCAGGCACCCACCACCCACTTTCTTTTATTTCTGATCCCCCATCCGTAGTTGTCTCCTCTGTGTGGTTGAGCCTCTAGATCA